CTTATGTAATTGGGTTAAATTTTTTTTCAGGAGATTTTAGGTTGTACATTGATACCTTAGCTTGTACATTATATTTTTATTATAAATGCATAAACAATTAACCGACTTTCTTATCCTGTAGACACATTTTTAAAGTTTCAACAAGTCATTTTAAAATTTAAAAATCTCCTCTTCACTCTTAAAGTCTTACAAAAATTGTTCCATTCTTCACAAGGCAAATTACGAAATAATAATAAATATATGTAGACATGTAGGGCTTCTGAAGAAGTACCAATGAAAAGCTTGCAATTCCAAACGTGCTTAACACATTCATGTAGTCTCTTAAATTTGTAATTATATCTTTTATTTGTCCCCATTAGATTATGCTTTCATTATTTTGTAAGATTATTTTAAAATTAGAATCCAGCTGTATTTTTTCCCTCTTGTTTCACTTAATGTGGCTTGTGAAGAATGACCATAAATTAAAGCATAATCTAAGAATCTCTCTGAGTTATGTGATCGATGGTTATATTTCTACAGTTTTTTAAGAAACCTATAATTAAGTGGATACTTAAAGTTAGTAAGCCATTATAATGTTCAGAGAGGGAAATGTTTAAATAATGAGGCTGGACAATATGAAAAGTACCTAAATGATTCTCATTGTGATCAAGAGTCATTTGCTTTCCAGATCACTTAAACTTTCTACTTATAACTGCAGTACTGGAAAGGCCTTCATATTTTAACTTGGTGACTATGTGTACCCTAACATGCATGTGCTGGGGGCTGTAAGCCTTTCATGAGAGACAACAAACTCCAGTAGTCCACAGAGGAAATGAAACTCTCTAACCTATTTTCCTGAATTGTATTAACCACAGGATTTCAGAAATGTAAGACAAATACTTAAAGAACAGAGCTTTGGGAAATTTGCTCTTGCTTTCATATCATGTGAATCTTCTTTGCTTCATCAGCGCTCACACTTCCTTATTTTCCTGGAAGAATTTTAGTAGCTTTGTAGAGTACAAACATGATGTTGAAATGCTACATTGCATGGATTAATATATTAATTTCATTAATTCCATAAGTGAATTCACCTTTCACATACACCATGTGTACAAATTTCCGATGTATTTGAAAGGTGAAAGGGAACTCTAGAGCTGCTTTTTATATCCTGGGCCACAATTTAGAACTCAATCACTTGACACATGGGAGGTACTATGTAGATGTACGAGCAGGAAAGTAGCAAGGTGATTTCTTTTTGTAGTATTCAAAATCAGTCCTGTCAAAAACACCTAAAGCACAGTAATCAAAAGAAAGCATACCATTAACTTCACCAGAGGTCAGAAGTTTGGCCTCGTTGCTCTTTGCAAGAAAAAGCTTAGGAATTAGTCAAGTAGTTTATATTTATAATAATTATGGAGAAAAAATGGATAAGACAAAACATAAAAGGAGAATATTAGTGAACTAATTATTAAAAAGCTCTGTACTTTCTGTGTAAAATATCTGTAAAAGCCTATATGAATTCACAGTTCTTAATCATATATACTTCTATCAGGATTCTAACTTACTGATATTGCTCTATTCAACCAAGCCTCTTGTTTTGTGTTTTGCTATTAGCAGTAAATGGAGAAATATAAACCAGAATCTAGGAACAAAAGTACTAACTCTAAAGTTTATATGAGAGGCAGAAAACTCAGAACAGTCAACACAATGTTGGTGGAGAAGAACAAAGTCAGAAGACAGACACTACCCCACTTCAAGTCTTACTATAAAGCTACAGTAATCAGGACAGTGTGGTATTGGTGAAGAACAGACAAATAGATCAATGGAACAGATAAAGAGCCCAGAAATAGAGCCACATAAATATACGCAACTAATGTTTGAGAAAGTAGCACACTACTATAATGGAGCAAAGAAAGACAGTCTTTTCAACAAATGGTGCTGGAATTATTGGACGTCTACATACACAAAAATCAATCTAGACACATATCTTACACACTTCACAAAAATTAACTCAAAGTGGATCACAGATCTAAATGTACAATGCAAAACTATTTATAGCAGCTTTATTCATAATTACCAAAACTTGGAAGTAATAGGCGAATGAATAAATAAACTGGTACGTCCAGACAACGGAATATTATTCAGCCCCCAAAACAAAGGAGCCATCCTCAGTAGTTTAGTGGTTAAGATTTGGCACTCTCACTGCCACGGCCTGTGTTCATTTTTCAGTCAGGGAACCATACCTCCCATCTGTTGGTTGTCATACTGTGGTGATAGCATGTTGCTGTGATGCTGAAAGCTATTCCACCAGTATTTCAAACACGGCAAGGTCATCCATGGTGGACAGGTTTCAGCAGAGCTTCCAGACTAAAACAGACTAGGAAGAAGCATCTGGCCACCCACTACCCAAGAAAATTGCCCATGAAAAGCCTATAAATAGCAGCAGAGCATTGTCTGACACAGCACTGGGAGGTGAGAGGATGGTGCAAAAAGATTGAGCAGGGTTCTGCTCTGCTGTGCACGGGGGCACCAGGAGTCAGAATAAACTCAATGTCACTAAAACAACACCAAAAACGAAATGAGCTATCAAGTCATGAAAACACACGGAGGAAACTTAATTGCATATTACTAAGTGAAAGAAGCATATGGGAAAAGGCTACATACTATATGATTCCAACTTTATGACATTCAGGAAAAGGCAAAACTATGGAGACAGTAAAAATATCAGTGATTGCTATAGGTTATTGGAGAGGGAGGGATGAATACGCTGAGCACAGAGGATTTTTAGGTCAGTGAAATTTCTCTTTATGATACTATAATGGTGGATATATCTCATTATACATCTGTCAAACCCATAGAATGTACAAACTAAGAGTGAACTGTGGTGTAAACTATGGACTTTGGGTGATAATGATGTGTCAATGTAGGTTCATCAATTGTAACAAATGTATGACTTTGGTGGAAGATAGTGATAATGGGAGAGGCTGTACATGTATGGGGGCAGGGAGTAGACGAGAAATTTCTGTTCCTTCTTCTTAATTTTGCTGCTAATCTAAAACTGCTCTAAAAATAATCTATTAAAAAAAAGTACTAATTCAGAGTAATCTTAAATTTTCTTATTAGTTTCCTATAGTCAAGGAGTACTTCAAAGTATTTGTTTTGAATCTTAAAATGCTACCGCTTGAGTGTGTGTATATGTGTATGTATGTGTCAGTGTGTGAGTGCGTAAGATAGGACAAAGTGACATCTTTCAGTTTTTCTTTGAACCAAATGATATCAACATTGACAAATCAAAAATTAAGATGTGTTCTTAGCACAATGCATTATAAAGCTTTTGTTAAGAACTCATCATTTTCTTTCAGAGTCAAATTGTAATTATCAGGAATCTTTGTAACTTAAAAAAAATTACTGACTTATCCTCCAAATGAACTTATTTTATCTTACTTTGTTGAAACTTCATGTCAAACATCAAGAGAATGCATGTTGAATAACCATGATCTAATTATAAGAATGCAATTTAATTGTGTGCCGAATAACACATCCAAGAAACTGTCCCGAGGATTAAACAAGGAAATGGTAAATCCTTGAAGGGAAGCGTCTCAACAACAAAACAACACGAAAGCACTTTAGCCCAGTCCCAATTACAGTATAGGAAGCAAACTATTTTTAACTCTGGGTTTGGAAACCCTTTTCTTTTAGGCCTTCTGGCCATTGTATTTAATAGAGTCCCTGAACTTGCTCTTCTTTTCCACGTCCACTGATTCTGCCCTACATCTTTACCATCTTCTGAGTAAGTTAATCAAAAAGCTTAATCGGCCTTCATACCTCTAGCATCTCTCCTTGCCAGTGCAGAGTCTGCAGTTACAAGATTTACTCTCCTAAACTCACACATCTAACTGTGCTTAAAACAGGATAAAACTGATTCTCTCCCCAGCTAGATCACAAGTTATTTTTCCAGTGCTCCACAATGGACTCCATTATTCCACAAGTTTACCATATGCTTAATTATTTCCTTGCCTCTCTTGGCTGTAATGATGCAATTACATTTCTTTCTGTTTAGTTTTCTCTCTCTCTCTTTCTCTCTGTCTCTCTGTCTCTGTCTCTTTCTCTCTCACGCTTTGTCTTTTTTTTCCTGAGAATTGCTACTTTGTTTTGAAAGTCTAGTTCAAATGTTAGACTTTTAAGACTTTGCTAGCCTGAGGGACAGATCCTACACTCCTGACAATATAACCCCTTACCGTTTGTTTATGCCCTGGCTAGTTGTACGTGCCTCTGTTTCCACCAGAAAGCTTACGCATTCCTTTAAAGGAGTGGTCAGTTGTTGTTATCTACAGTATCTGACACGCAGTGGATATTCAATAAACATATACATTATTGCTTATCTTTGTGTTGTGTATTTTACTACACACTTAAATGTATGCATGACTGTGTCTGGTCTTTTAGTCATTTGACACTTTTAAACAAGAGTCTATTTCTTAAGTTTTTCTCCTGAGCTTGTGTTAATAAAAGGGAAATGTTGACAATTCATAAAAATGGCATCTGTGACTTTTGGGGAGAAGCATTAAAGCATATTATCTCAGCCAGCCTTCTCTATCACTAGTAGGTCTCTTAACTACAGATGGGGCTTAATTGCTCCTCAAATACACCTAACATTTATGCTTGCACAATATTGCCCATTAGCCATTGAACACTTCTGTTGGTAGTTTTCTTACCCCAAATTTATCAATTTTACTATCAATTCTTATTACTCTTTACCACAGCAAAATATAAAAATCAGTAGCTTGTTCATGAGAAGACATAAATAAGCTCCAAGTTCAAATATTTGCTTTTTCAAGACAGAGAATGAGCTAAAATAATATAGAACATAAACAAAATTCAAGTTGGTGAATAGAGTAGCCATTATAAAATAATGGAAACGTACATCCGTTGGGAGATTACTGAGGCTCCTTCCTGTCTAGGGAAAATGTTTGGTTATGTGTTCCATTGTGCCAAGGACAGACTGGTCCTTTCCAGACACTTACCCTCTGACAGCATGAATAAGTCTCAATGATGGATAGGCAGTTCGCACTTTCAGTTTATTCTTAAGGATTAACGCATTAACCCACTCCACGTGCTTCTCTCCTCCTTTGACCATGAAAGCAGGGATCCAAAGGACACTGTCATTCAGCATGGAAAGTCTATGCACAAATTTTTCTCTGTCACTCTCATTCCGAAAGCCTCCAAATGCTCTTTGTACCACTGATGGATTCATGGTAATAAAATCTGATTTAGTTCCCACATCTGCAGCAAACTCCACCACAGGGGCTAGATTACACCTGAAGAGGAAAAAATTAATGGACATATGAAAAATAAATATGAAACATTCACTCCTAAAATGGGGTGCATGAAAAGAAGAATGGGGAACGAGCATGTTTTTTCCACCACGTAGAAAAAAATAAAGATAATCTATCTGGTAAAATTATATTCTCAATAAGTCACCACATATTCAAGAATATTGTCTTCAATAAGGATGTGCACTCTTAGTATAGGGCTCCAATTGTTATTTACATTAATTCAACCTGCTGTTCTAGAATACTCTGTGAAGTTATCTTCATAAAACCACGTAATATGAATTCTTAATCAGTGCATTTATGATGGGAAATTCACAAAGGCTCTGTTGCCATGCAGTAGGCAATCTCAGCCACATGCTGTTCTAGAAGTCAGTCAAACACATTAGACCTGATATTCCAATCTGCACCACCTGCCAAGCTTAAGTCATTGCAACAACTTTATAAACGTTAAGTAAGTGAAGATGGCTTTTCTGTATCCTAAAGTTAACTGAAAAGTATAATTCTTTATAATTTTCCACAAACATATTTGTATTTACCTTCTATAGGCCTAAATAGGAAAAAAAAGTAAGAAAAATAGAGTTATCATTTTTTTTTTTAAGATTGACATCTGAGCATCTGTTGCCAATCTTTTTTTTTCCGTTTTTCTTCTTCTTCCCAAAGCCCCCCCCCCAGTACACAGTTGTATATTCTAGTTGTAGGTCCTTCTAGTTCTGCCATGTGGGATGCTGCCTCAGCATGGCTTGATGAGCAATGCTAGGGCCATGCCCAAGATCCGAACCAGCGACACCCTGGGCTGTGGAAGCTAAGAGGTCACGTCGGCCTTCTGTGGAGGAGAAACAGAATTTGTTGTCCTGTTCTCTCCACTGAAGCTCCAGGGCCTCACAAAGTTCCTGGGCCTGAATTTATTCTTGGAACCTGATTTCATTCGTGCATTATGAGAAAACACTTTGATTTTCATCTTCAAGCAGTTTGTGATGCTTCTTTGATTTTGTCACATGGGTCTTCAGACACTAGACTTAAAAAAAAAGCTTTTTATTTTAAAATATTTTAACTTACTAAGAAAGGCAAATTTTACTAGTTGATAAGCAAAAAATGAAAGTTTAAAAAAACAAGAGTTTGCTGATTTGGAAAAAATCGTTTGAATCTATTCAATCTACACCTTCATGAAAACACAGATACCCACAGAATTTCTTTTTCTTTTCTTTCTCTTTCCTTATATCAGCCTTTTAAGAGGAAGGAAAATAAACTGACTTTTCCTTTCTGCATTTTTGCTGATTTGACACCATTATGACAGTTTTTCACATTTCTCTTCCTTGTGCATTTTATCACATTAATTAAATTCTCAAACAAATTAAATTTAATTAAAAAGTAAAGAGTCTACTCTGCTATTAAAAATACTGGTTTGTATAGCCTTCATTATCTCTCTTAGTTAATATATCTTGTTACTTCCTAGATCTCTCACAACATTTAGCCACCACAAAAAATATCTTTCATCTCACACAGTTACTCAGTCTGTACTATCTAGGATGAGCTACTGAGAGAAAACAAATAAAAATTAACACATCATATTACTTGGGAACAATCTTTTCAAGTTATATCTTTATATATATCTTTCTATATATCTTTAATTACGCCTACTATATTATATGGTAGAGTACTTATTTCTCTCTATCCATGACCCACACACTGTTTGAGATTAGATATTATTCTTCCCCATCTCAGTAAAGATATTTTGAAAGGGTCTGCCCCAGAAAAGAACAGCTACACGTGCACAGAAGCCGAAGTGAAGATCTTACTGTGGAACTCATCAAAGACTGAGGACATGATAATTTTTACAGTCCTAAAATGCACTCCATACCAGCTTTAAAAATAGTCTAAAATTCTGACCAAGCTGATTATAAGATGAATCTGGATGCTGTGGAGAAAAAGCATTCTCAACATCATTATTACAGACACTTCTCCTTCCTCAGGTGAAAAATAAACAAAATTTGTTAACATTACAGTTAACATGTTTCTGTCGGGGGGATGGCTTCAGATACATCTTTCTGCTATAAGAATTCCTCGGTAATTCTTTTCAGAGGATTTCTACTGTAGAAAGATAATATCTATACTTCATTTTCTCTATAATTATAAAAATAATCAGAGCCAAACCAGTTAAAGAGAGCAAAAAAACATTCTACTGAACTGTTTTTTCAGGAAAGAAAACCAAATCAATTACTTTGTGCTTTTCATTACTTATCACATACTTAAAAACCCCTCCACCCCCATGTTTGCTAACACTCGCTCTTTTAGGATTGACTCAGCATGTTTCTTAAACATGATTGTCTGGCCATCTGTCTTTTAAGAGACAATAAGGTATTCATTAATAAAGTTGGGTGTCGAAAGACAGGTACTTTCCACTTTGGAAGCAAAAGGAAACTAACAGTATAAGAATATTTCTGGAGAATAAGGTTGATCTGGAAGACAAACCAACAGAGTTGACGCAATCAAAGAATGCTGAGTGACTGTGATGCTACCTAAGAAAGCACCAGGAGATCCAAGAATAACCAATTTCCGAGAGCCTTACCGTAAAGCTTTTATGACCTAAGCATGGCCCAATTAGGCTTTGTGAGGGATGGAAATAGGGGTACAGAAAATAGCATGACAGAAGGACACACTGCAAAATATAATCTATGTTGGCTCTAGGAGTCCGGCTTGTTCATCTTCCTTGGAGTGACTATGTTTACTTTTTCACTGGAAGGGAAGATTAAAATCAGGTCCCTATGTGGCCAGTAAATTAACTCTGTGGTTGAGTCAGATATTTAGTCAAATAATTAGCTGAATGCCACATAATCAGGGCAAGCATTAAGAAAGCCAAAATAACCAACCAGCTGTGTTGCACTCCAACAATCCTGCCGTCTTGGTGTGAACTTCATAGTGTTACTACCAGCAATAACTGCTGATTGAGCAAGATTATAAATAGATTTGCAATCGTACATTCTTCATCTTTCTTTTTAAAAATCTTCTTAGGGGTTATAACATTCAAAAGGATCCAGAATGTGTAGCAAGAATTTATGAAGTAGCACATTATTTCACATGTTATTCTCAGTCTCATAAAATTGAAAAGTGGCCAATTTTTAAATGATGGATTTTTAGGAGTCAAAACTACTGAGTTCATAAGAATCTTTAATACACTCAAGCTCTATTTCTTTAGCCAAATTAAATTTTTTGTATTGTCCAACTATTTTTGGCATATCAAAAACATGAAAACATATGCACAGAATTAGGTATGCTGGCCAAACTCTCTGTGTACTCTAAGATGCCCAAATTTAAATTTACTTGTGTTTATTTTCCATCATTGATTAAAAACCTGCAGGAATGCAGCTAGCTCCACTGGTACTTCTAGACCTCTGAAATTTCTTCTATCATCTCACAGTGGATGTGATTACCTCTCAACACCCTTTATATGCAAAATTGAAGGGACTTTCATTTATTTCAAGGCTATATAAATTTTTTTCAATTCATATGGAAGAAACGCTTATTTCATGTTGAACACCTCAAGATCACAGAATTCCCTAGGAAGACATATCTCTTAAATTTGTCAATATTCTCTGCATTCCCTTAAGTTATAGCTCAACAGTCTAAGATACAAGGAGTTCCCTCTTTCAATAGTTCAGCAGATATGTCTTGAGAGTTCATTGTGCAAATACTACACCACGTGCTCAGAACTCTTTTTCCAGCTATTTTGCCATTTGTGCTATTTTGCAATGATATAATCTGGACTAAATATAATCTTGACAGTTATTACTAGTAATATCAATAAGATAATACTCATTCACTTAGCCATGTGTTTATTCATCCCATGCGCGTATTATACATTTGTGCTAGCTGTAAAACTAGTCATCTGAGTTACCTTGAGGTAATACCTGTGCTGTGATACAGGAGGTTGTTGATTACATCTTTATACAAACAATGTAGATTAAATGAGAAGAAAACAATATCGAGTAGATTATACATTAAACTCTAGCCTTTCTCACCATTAGTTAATGTTCAGACAAGTTCCAAACATACGATTAGCGTCCTTTTTCTCTTTTGGCCAATCCCACTGTGTATTTCTCTGTACTAACACTGAAACCCCTCAACCCAAACCATCACTACCAGTGAACCACATTTGTTACTGACCATGAAGTGGGAGATAGCCTCTTCTCTTTTCTGCCCCCACAGGAAACTTATGGTTCCTGTCTGCTCCCATTCTGTTTTTGAGCTTGAAGAGCCATGAAAACAAAGAATCTGTGATACCTGTCTTTTTTTAAGCTTTGCGGTTACCCTCTCAAAATTGATAGTGGAAGCTGAAACATACAACCTATCTGTCTCCCCGACTTTCTTGAGGCGAGGGTAGTAGGCCTCAAATAGAACTGAAACCAATAGTTTTTGCAATACTTTAAGGTAAGAGTAATATTATCCCCACTTTAGAGATGAGGAGCTAAGGTCAGCATGGATAAGGAACACGTCCAAGGACACAGTGTACATATAAGAAAAGCACGGCTACTTTAGAACGACTTCAGGACAGGAGCTTTAAAGGACACTATCGACACATGTGATTCTTCAAGAATTGGAGCAAATGTCTAAATGTTCATCCTTCACCCCAACCTTCCTGTAGCAGAAAGAGCGCTTCACCAGTTAGTCTTAGGTTTTAGTCTCAGACTCCCAGGACTGAAACATATTATACAAGTCCTCTCAGCCGTGGCATTCCCCAAATCCTGAGCAGTTATTAAACAAAGGGTTTTAGGTATCTAAAACATAAAAAACAATATTTACACCTCAGATCTCTTGAGGGGAAGGACTTTCAAAATGCTGGTAAAAAGGTTAAATTGATGTGACTCTGAAACATGAAGCACAGGATTAATAGTTGATTTATATGTTGGATATCATTATGTAGTAAACAAAGGGTAAGAAATAGAGACGCGACATCATGCTGAAGATTTGCATTTCAGTATGGTGGATGC